AAAGATAGAAAACTTGGCATGCATCTTAGTGATGATGGTGGAACACTATAAAAAAATTTGAGTTCATTTCAAGGATGTCGAAAAAAAACTCCTTTCGGGCGGGTCCTTCAGTCCCGCCCGAACGGTCTCCGGAGAAGGAGGTCAATTTTTTGACATATTCGGAATGACCTCAACTTTTGCAAGTGAGTTGGTATGGTCACCCTGACATTCAATCCAAGAATTGAACGTATTTGAACACCAAAAACATGTTGTGTCACGTCCGGGGTGTGCTATGTGGTGTTTTCACAGAAAAAATTATAGAAAATTCATAAAGCAATAAAAAATGTAGAAAACTTGGCATGCATCCTAGTGATGATGGTGGAACACTATAAAAAAATTTGAGTTCATTTCAAGGATGTCGAAAATAAATTAATAAGTTTATTGCTATAACTAATAATTTGGAAACGACCGTTAATAAAAAACAGTACTTCACATAGAATTTAAAACACTACTTAATACATAATTTATTAAGTAATTATATTACAAAGAGTACTTAATACATAATTTATTTCGTATTGACATTATACCTATGATGGTAGATATTACTAATGTAATTTGGGTTCATTTGAAGGATGTCAGAAAAATATTGTAGATAGTACTCATGAAATTTGCATAGTGTGGCAAATAATAAAAAATAAGACAGATAGTAATGATATGGTTTGAGTTTACACTGCTAGCAGTACACGACCGCACTGCCCGGACAGTGTAATGAGCTTACATTGACCGGGCAGTGCGGCAGTGCCGCCGCTAGCAGTGCAAAGTCAAACCAAATTATTACTAACTGTCTCATATAGCAATGTGCATGAACGCGGGTATATAAGCCGGTCGTGGCGTCCCTCGGCGCGCGGGGTGGGACTAAAAAAGCGCCCCTTCCACCTCCCCCCGCGCCGTGACTCATAGAAGGCAATAAAATTGTGATGCAAAAAAAGCCCACCTGTGCTTGCATGCCGCAACTGCGCTTAATCGGTCCGACCCGATCAAGCCGGGTGGCGAAAGGGCCGGCCTTTCGGCCCAGCTACGGCCTGCAGCACAGGCCAACGGGGCAGTGGCGGGACGGGGCGGGAATGAGAGGAGTTCGAAACGGTGGTGGGAGGTTGGTATATAAGTCGGTCGCGGCGTCGTTCGGCGGGCGAGGTGGGACTAAACTTTAGTCGTCACCCCCGCCGACCTTGCCCCCGCACCGCGCGCACACTCAATGGGCCGGCCCACGCGCGCCGTCGCGCACAGTCACCGGGCCGTCCAACGTGCGGTGTCATTGTTTTTTTGTTATGTGTTTATTGTTTCAAAAATAATAGTAATTTTTCTAAATAAATGTTGTATTGTATAAATAATAATGAAAAGTCCTACGTATTGTATA